AATAAATAGAGAAGCCTGGATTTTTTTCTTGTGGCATTCTGGCTCTAGTGTCAATATTTATAATGACTTTTTTTTTTTTAAGGTGGAGGGGATGGAGTGGTTTCCTGGCTTTGAGAATTTTCTAATACAAATAGTTCATATATTAAATACTTTTTGTTAAGCAGAGGTTTAAAAAAGCATTATAAAATAGAATTAAAAAACAACATCTTTATTCTGTGTATCTGTTGGTGGAAATGGAAAACCTTCCCCAAAGATAAATACTGCTTGGATTCTAAGGGCTACTAGTGGAAATGATATTGATTAAAATTCCCTAAGGTGTCTTGGGTCACTGTCTTATTGGTTTGGATTTTCTATTCCCACACTCCTATGATTTGCCGAAAGTCTGCCTATAAATAACCAAAATGCACCTGGGGAGTGGGAGTAACCTATTCCTGTTCATAGAGCAACAGATGCCCTGGTAAGTGGCAGGGCCCTTCCAAATAACATGATGAAATTGTGAAATTTTCTTAAAATTTGAGGGTGTCATGATTTTCTCCACATCTCTTGCCAGAAGTTTACATCTGTGTTTCTCTGATATTTCATAGACATAGTCTAAACGAGAGAGAGAGAGAGAGAGAGAGAGAGAGAGAGAGAAATTCATGCATTCATAGAAATGTAAACATATTTGCTGATGAGTTGACATGAGGTCTAAATTTGGTTCCATGTGATCCCGTGGTGGGAGGGCTGTGGATGAGTCCAGAGATGACCAGAGATGAGCTATGTGTTGATAATTGTTGACTTGGGTAATGGTTCTTAGGAATTTATTGTACTATTCTCCACTTTTGTGGATATGTAGCATTTTCCATAATTAAAAGAGTGTTAAAAATAATCCACTCATTGCAAAGCTATTTATTGAGTACCATACTATGTGTCAGTCACTGCTCTAGGTCTTGAGATCCATCAGTGAACAGGAGAGTTAGAAATATTTGCTTTGTAGGATATATGTTCCAGTTGGACATGGGATGAGGTAGAAGGAACACCACTGAGTAAACATGATAAATTCATGAATTTTATGGTATTTTAGAAAGTGTTACATGTAATGGAAAAGAAAAAAAGAGATAGGGATCAGATGAGGGTGGAGAATGATGGAGAATAGGGCTGGGGTCTGAGCCTTGGGGTGTCAATGTTGGGGAAAAAATGACAGAGGCAGGAGAGGAACAGCAGTGAGGAAGGGAAGGAGAGAAGGAAAGGAGTTATTTGGGAGGAGGGAGGAAGTGGGCTGGGGTGGTGATAGTAGGGAGAAGGGAGTGGTCAGCTGTGTCAAATGCTGCTGGTAGGCAAATTAAAAGCCCTGTGGAAAGTGTAAACCACTTACTTGATCAACTTACCCAGAGAATGAACTGAGAGCCTCTTATGTTGGTACTGAACAATGTGACTGCAGTAATGAACACAAAAATCTATTTGAATCTGTAGAAGGAAGAAACATCCAAACCTGGAGAATTTTATAAGAGTTAATTTGAGCCAAGCTGATCACATGTGCGGGGGAGCAAGATCTCAAATGCTCTGGAGAATAACAATTTTGCAGCTTATTTTATGTATTTGAAATTAAGGAAGGAATGTACACGGAGGTGGGGAGAAAGCAAGGCAGGGATTCGATTACAGGATAGTTAACAAGAATATGTGCTCTCTTGATAACTTTTGAGGGCTATTACTTCTGGCGTTTCAAAGATGTGTTAATCTAGATACACAAGGACAATGGACAGGGCTGGCTTAACACCTTCCACTAAAGAAGTTAGAGGCCTGGAGCGTGGCTACCCACCATGACCTGCCTGGTTAAGAATTTTTTTTTTAAGGTTTAATTGGGGAATTGGGGAATTGGGAGAGGGGAACAGTGCTGGGGAATTAAGGGAGGGGAACAGTCAAGTTGTTGTCCTTCAATCTTAGTTGTGGAGGGCACAGCAAGCTCAGCTCCAAGTCCAGTCGTGCTGCTCAGCTCAAGGTTCTGTGTTCAATCTTAGTTGCGGATGGACGTAGCCACCATCCCATGCAGGAGTAGAACCGGAAGCCTTGTTGTTAAGAGGGCATGCTATATTCCCTGAGCCATCAGATCACCTTGTGAGATTACTTTCCATAGAACCTCTGTTTTTTTTTTGTTTTTTTGTTTTTTG